TTGTAATCGTTCGTGGCGCATCTTTTACTCTAAATAACAGACATTTAACCGGGGTCAATGGTGAAAATAGCGTTATCAGTTGGAAGCATGCATTAAAATTATCGAATCCAAAGCTCGTCATCTCACAGATTGTGCGTAAAATCATTGAATAAAAACCATTGCACCCTTTTATATTTAAATTAAATGTATTTTCAATTTTACTTTCACAATTTCAGTTTACCGGCCGCGCCTGTCACTTTACCGGTCGCATCTGTCACTTTTCCGGCCGCGGGCCGCCCCTGTCACATTGCTAAATGTCTCTAATGACATTAAATCATAAGATGTACCTATATATGAAAATTGGAATTTTTCATTAAAATACGATTTCTGGTAAAATTTCATACAAAACTCGTCAGTAAAATGACACTACTTGACTCAAAAATTAAAGTACTCGGCCCACAGTATTTCCTCACCAATAGTGTGTCATTTTCTAACTCTTATGTAAATAACTTTTGACGCCTTTCGCTCCCGATTTACCGCCAGAAGCCTTTACGATTAGGTATTATGTAAAGTATAAAGAAAAATATATCCAAAAACGAAAATGTCAAAATCAGACATAATTTCAATTAATTCAAACTTACGTACCCCATTAATAAATGGGTTTAGGATTGCAATATAGGCAAAACAAAGATAAGTACCTAATCAAATTGACATATACCTATCTAAAAAGAAAGGTGTTAATAAAGAGGACTTCTAGGAAAATAAATTTACCTAAAGATGATACTGTCACTCCTCATTCGCGTAAAGACGCTTAGATAATTAATTTAAACAATTTTAGCGTGATGGCTCTGAAATTTTCCTTTTCAAATCAACATTTTCAGAAAGACCGACCCGTCAGTTCAACGACAAAAGCAAAAGTGATAAGAATGCTCATGACACCAACTACTCCCAACTTAACGCACTAAACGCGCATGCAGTTAGTTACACAAACCAAGAGTTGTCACGTCAGAAACCTTTGCGGGCGTACGTAATTGACCACCACCACTATCCAACTGAATTTTTTACCTCGCTGGAATTGCGCGAATTATCCCTATACAATCTGCATTTAAAAGTTGGATCGTTAATCATTATAGGTTGCGAAAAATAAACCAGCCACGTCTTAGTAATGGCCAGTGGCGTATACAAGGGATGGGGTTTGGGGGTTCCCCCCCCCCCCCCCTTTGGGTGATGCGCTCTCGCCTCGACACTTGCATATTGCAGGGCACCCACAAAAACAGCAAAGATGCTACGCGACAAGTCAGGGATCTGACTACTAAGTATACTTACAAATGAAGCAAATTTCCAGAAGCACTAAAATTTAATTTTCAAGGATGATTCAAATACCTAACCTGCTCGGCGCGAATATCCTAACCCCCCCCCCCCCCCTCGATGACATTCTGGATACGCTAATGGTAATATGGCATCCGACATGCGGCCATAATTTCGAATAGGGATTCTACAAAGGCGAAGACGTTTTGATTCCACTACTGTGAGATCAATAAATAATAATTTTAATTTGGAAAATCCGTGTTTTACACAGGGCCATCAATGACAGGGCCAATTGTATGTCGCCTGTCCCGGGTCGGAAAACTTTTAATTTTATTTACGCGCCAGAAAACAAACCTAACAATTTTATTTATTATCCCTCTCTTGTTCTGGGCCCTCAACAGGCTTGCGCCCAATTACAGAGTGACCCGCATAATGCTATTTTAGAGGTGCCTCTGGCCCTCTGCAGAGGGTCTTAAGTTCTGTATCATGCAAAAAGCATTACAATAATTATAAGCATATAAGCACGTTTTTGAAATAATTTTTTTTTAATTACTTATTCCAATTCGAATTGAACATTCATAGCTAAGACGGGACAAAGTCTGTCGGGTGAACTAGTGTCAGATAAATCAAGATAAATGGAAACATCAGAAACATGTTCGTTTTCAAAGGGGGATTACATTTGTTGTAGTAATTGTAATGGATTTCAAACGAATCATTGAATAAAAATTCAATGTATACCTACCTAATGTGAGGCATAAGTAAATTCGAAATAAAAATGAAATGTCCGTAGGAACTAAATATCAATATTTAATTATGACGTCAACATAACAAGAAGTATACGTTGGGAATACATTAGAAATGCTAGAAGGAATACCCTGTCGCATTGCTACTCTCCTAGTACAGCAGACAGATGTTTAAAGTAAAATGGACCAATAAGATACGAGAGCTTATAAAATGCGCCAATAACACGAAATGTAGTTCAGAATGTTCTAACAATATATGGAATTAACATAGGACTACCACATGTGACGCGCTGGAATGTCGTAAATGAAATGTTACATTCATGCATTTCTGCGATCCTGATAGTAAGATAGTTGAATTGAAGTTTTCGCAAGCTCCAGATTGACAACCCAATTTGACACGACGTGTAATGTAAAAAAGAACTCTTTGTGTTTCTGTTTTTTGTATAACGAAATGTAAATACCTTAGACAAACTGTAAAGTCATCATATTACAAAAAGGGTAGCAGTCAATAATGGTCATATTTACAGAACTCTGTTATCAGACATTTTTGAATTGATATGAGATGGCGCCATGCACAACAAATGGAAGTATACGATTAGTGATAAAAGATTTTGAACATTTAATATATTTATAATA